ACTTCATCTCTCTGTGCCCCAGAAAATAGGTGTAACCATGGCACTAGGCTGTCAGTGAGCTGTTCTGGAGATGGAAGAAAACAACACTGATCTTGGCTTAGAGCCACGCCTTTCGAAGTCCGAGTCCTTGCCCATCGGACGAGCCTAACCTAACACAAAGCCCATCTGATATTACACTGACACGCTCTCAGCGCTAGAAGCCTCCTGGGTGGGGACATCATATCTGTCCTCATACTCGTGAAAAAGGTAGCAGCCTAACTGAAGGGAGCAGGCAGAAGATCTGGGGTTTTCCGTAGAAAAGAAGGGGAAGCAAGAAAGGGGGGCTCAGCTAGGGGTTTTCTCCTCCTGTGTGAGAATGGCCCCACCCCACAAGCACCTGGGTGTGTAAAGGAGGGGTGTGTGTAGTGGGCACCTCAGTGAAAGGGGAGGTGTCCCCGGTTGGCCCCCTGCCTCACTGCAGGGGAAGAAGACACTTGGAGCCCGAGAAAGTGCAGCCCTCCTAACAGCATCCAACATTCATCTCACAAATGTTCGCTGAGCACCGACTGTGTGCCAGTGTCCTCAGCACTAAAGAAGCAACAGTGAACCAAGCAGATAAACGCAGATTCTGCCACCTTCACGGAGCTGGTGGGCAATACACAAAACAGACGAGGTAAAGTCCATGGCAAGTGCTAGAAGAAAAAGCAAGCAGGAAACGTGTGGGGAGATCAGTTTTGAACTGGGTGCTCAGAGAGAGCTCAGCACTGACTTGAAGAAGTTTCCAGAAATAGATTTGTGGCCATCTAGGGGGAAAGCATTCCAGGCAGAGGGAAGGGCCAGTGCAAAGGCTCTGAGGCTGAGTGTGCCTGGCGTTTGGGGGCCAGTGTGGAAGGGACCATCAGTGACCACGATGGGGGGGGGCGGCAGGAGAGGAGCCCAGAGAAGTGGCACAGCCGGGGAGGAGCCATGGGAGGATGGGGCTTTGACTCTAAGTGACAGCAGGGCCATCGGAGGGGGCTGAACAAAGGAGGGACAGGATCTGGCCATTGCTGTGGGGCTGGGTGGAGAGCTTACTGAGTGGGGTCAGCGAAGGAAGCAGGGTGACTGCTGCAGAAGTGTACGGGAGAGAGGAGGGTGGCGGCCCTCTGGAGGTGGCAGGGGGCACTCACACACCCAGCAGGTGCGCGGCACCTTCCCCACACTATTTCCCTGAATATTCCCACCTCCAACCAGTGCCACCTGCTCTGATCCCCGTTCTACAGGGGAGCAAACTGAGGCTCTTGTCCAAACCACACTGCCAACAGGAGACTCGAGAAGCTTCCATCCTTCACCAATGGCGTTGCTCCACCCATCCCGGGAGAAACAGTGCTCCTGCTTCCTGTGACCTGTCCCTCCCTTCCCTGCGGCTGCCTCAGTCCCACCTCCCTCCAGGCATCCCGGCAAGCCCTCCTCCACCCTGCCCTGCCACCCCTCCAAGACTTCCCGAGTCACCTACTTACTCAGGTTCAAACACATGCGAGATGAAGCCCAACCTCACCTGTGCTCCCACTTGGTACAACCACACGTCGCGCCAGCCCATCTCCCCACCCCCAGACCTTCCCTGTTCCTTCTCCAGACCTTTCCTCCGCTGCCCCCGCCCCCAGAATGCCAACAACGGGCAACCACCCAGCCCTTCTGAGCCTCTAATACAGAGGAGAAATCCAATTTGCGTGAAGGGCTCGGGCTAATTCTGTGTCAAGGCCAAGCTCCCTTTCTGTTTGTTGAAGGAGGTTGATGCTCCTTCTTGGAGGAAGGAGAAAAGCTTTCTTTGTGCCCGGTCTGGTGAGATTGTGTCTGTTTAGGACAGGCTGCAGTTTTCTTTGTAAACGCTGTAGACTTTTTCATGTGGGTAAAAGGGCTTATTAGATTTTCCTGTGGCTGCCCAGAGTGGGGAGAGGCTCTTCTGGGCACAGAAAGAAATTACCGAACAAGCGCTAGAGAGGAAGGAACACTTAGCAGCTGCTTCTCACGGAGAGGTCAGGATTTCATGGTTGGTGTTTTCGTTGGGGTGAACGTAAAATGTTGGGAAGGAAAGAAAGCCTTCCCTGTAGTTTGGGCGGGAGGGAAAGAACATGGTCCTTGATGTTTCAGGGGTGGGGAGAGAGGAGCGCAGGATTTTTTTATGGGGGGGTGGGGGTGTTGGGGCATTCTTTTTCCTTCTCCTCAGTAAAAAATAAATTACAAAATGGTCACAGAACACAGAAGAAAGGTTGTCATAGCAACAAAAGTTTGAGGCCAGGTACTCCCTGACATCCTTACAGGACCATGGAGGTGGTGAGGCAGGATTTGGGCATTGTGGGATCAGCCAGGGAAACCATCCAAGCTGGCGCAGACCTCCCCAATTTCTCACCGGCTCTGACAGGCTGATAACTATTTTCCAAGCTCTCGGGGAGGAAAATTGTGATTTTCTGGGAGGGGCGATCTCTAGCCAACAGCGATCAAGAGAAAAGGGAAAACTGTGGGTTTGTTTTATTTACCCAACAAACTAACCACCCGTGTTTTTACGAACAGAGGACTGGGGATGAGGGTCTCTGGTGGAGAACCCCCCCAAAACGGTGCCCGTCCCGGATCCCCCAACAGCATCATTCACTTCACCCTGATGCCCTTCTCTCCCCGAAGATAGTCAGGGCCCCCTCACCAGCTGGGATGCCTGGACAAAAACCTCCCTGAACCCCCAATTCCTCATCTGAAGAGTAGGTACCCTAGGAGGGCCTGCCACGGGGGTGTTGGCAAGGAGTCCGCAAGATCTGGCAGGTAAGAAGTTTAGCAGTGCCTGGTGCGCATTAAGGGCTCAATAAATGTAAGCCAACATTGCTTTAAATGTTTTTCAATTAATAATTTTTAAAACTGCTCGGGCTTAAACATCCCGTGTCGAGCCCCAGATGAGTGATACAGATGCGCGCTGCACAGGGAAATCACCACAAGAGGTGGGGCCGTGACCTTCAGGGAAAAGCCAGGAGAGACCCCAGTGAAGAGACCCAGCCAGCCATCGGCGGCCGGGACACCCCACAGAGGCAGGGACTGGACCACTCCAAGAGACGCAGCCTTGGGTTTTTAAGTATGTGCGTAAAGGAAGGACAAGGAGGCTGTGCTTCTACACAAAGGAGAAACTTGGCGACAAGTGGAGGTGATGTGTGGGGACCTCTACCCCAAAAGGTGCAGATGTTCCCCAGGATAAGACATTACGAGGCCTCTGTGGAAAAGATCAGGGTCAGACTGAGTGGAAAGCAGAAAATTTTAGCCAAGATGCCTTTTGAGGTTCTTTTTTTCTTTTTTTACATCCCAGAGTAAAGATGTGAGTTCTGAGTGCACATCAGAAGGGAGTCTGATGGAGCGAAACTGGTCGGAGGTGGAAGCCTATTCAAACAGAGGGTGTCTGACAAACGGCTAGCATCACGCAGGTGGTCACAGAAAAATTCAGCAAGCACCTCCAGAGGCAAGGCAGAGGGCACGGCACCCCAGGAAACCGCTGGTTTATCATCCCAGGCCCTCATCCAACATGAATCCCACCAAAATGTACCCACGACCTCCTATGCACTAGATGCTACCCAGAGGCTGGGGATGACCGTCAAACAGGCAAACCAGGCCCTGCCCTCACAGGGACATCCTGTGGAGACAGGGGACAGGAGGCTAGTGACCAGAGGCAGGCTCCAGAAAATCCCAGGTTGTGCCAAGCATGATGAAGAAGATAAAGGTGGTGACAAGAGACAAAGTTAGGGGACCCTGCCTCCAGAGGGGATGGGGAGGTCTTCTCTCCAGAAGATCCTGCCCGGCAAGCCGGGTGGGGACCTGCCAGTGGAGTGAGGAGGAGCCAGCCAGGGAAGATGTGGGGAAGGGAATTCCAGGCAGAGGGAGCAGCCTCCTTGGGTTTATTTTACACCTTCTTGTCTCTCTGTCCTTTAGACAACCAATCAGGCCAACAGCTTGTTCAGAGCAAACTCCGTTGTCACCCACCCCCATGGACATCGGGGTACCCACATGGACCACGTCCCTGAGCGCAGAAGAGCTGTGCATGCACAGACTTTTAACCGTGGGGAGAGAGGTCAATTCACTCAAGAGGGTCCCCACGCCCCGACCTAGAGCACAATACGATCTGGGAGGTAGTGGGTGGTGTGGCCCTGCACCGCCCCCTCCCCCACGGCCTCACTGCCCGCCTCGGGGGCACTCACTCCGCCCTGGCTGCCCCGGGGCGGGCACGGGAAGAGGAGCGAGGCAAAGGGTGCAGTTTGATCGGCCTTCTGAAAAGTCACCCCACCACCACCACCACCACCACCACCACCAATTTTGAGCCGAGCCGAGCCCAGCGGTCCCGCTTTCCCGCTGCCTCGCCCCCCTCCCGCTGCATCCTCTCCCGGGCGGGGGCCAGGACACGAAGGGCTCCCCGCCGGGAACCCACTGGCCTCCCCGCACCCCCGACTCTCCTGCTGCCCGAGCTCCGTCTGGGAGAACGACACCCCCCACCCCCGCCCCCGGCTCCGGGGATCTGCGGAGCGGGGCGGCGGGGGGGGCGCCTCGGAGCAGCAGTGGGTGCGTCCTCCCCTAGGCGGGACGGGCCGGGAAGGGGGAGCCGGTGCCCCGCGAACGAAGGCGGGGGAGGGGGCGAGCCCAGAGACGAGTTCTGGCGCGGAGAGGAGCGCGCGCCCCGCCGACCGGCCGCTGGGCTGGGTGCCCGGGAGACGCGCCTCCCCGGGGCGCGGCGACGTCCCCAAAGGCGCCCGGCGCTCCCAAAGGGCAGCAGCTCTGCCCGGAGCCCCGGCACGGCTGCGCGTCCCGGCCGCCCCCCACTCTCCCCGGGCCCGCTCCCGCGCGCACCCCGTGCCAGGGCGTGCGGCCGAGCCCTGCGGAGCGCGGGGCTCCTCGGCCGGCCGCCGGGAGGGAGCGCTGGGCGGGGGCTCGGGCCGCGGGGGCCGCGCCGCCCGGGGCGGGGAGGGGGCTGGGGGTAGCCGGGCGCCGAACCGCCGCCGGCGCCGCCGCTCACTCACCGAGCCCGCCGAGCTCCTCCTCGCACGAGTACCAGATGCCGGTGTGGAAATTCCTGAAGAGGAAGCGGTCGTCGCCCGTCTCCCAGCTGTAGAGCGCGCCGCCAGGGGGGCCGTTCCCCGCGGCGGCGGCGGCGGCGGCGGCGGGGGCGGCGGTGCCGTTGGCCGTGGCGTTGGCGCCCGAGTTGGGGCAGTTGGCGCGCCCGCCCTGGCCGCAGCCGGGCTTGGGGACCCGCTGCGTGCCCTGGCACCAGTGCGTGGTGAGGAAGGCGGTGATGGCGAAGAGCAGCGCCAGCAGGTTCAGGGCCACGGCCAGGAGCGCTCGGCCGCGGCGGCTCGTCTTCATGCCGCCCGCGCCGCCGGGACCGCGCCGCCGGGGAGCTCCGCGCGCGAAGTTGGCAGCCGGCGCCCCGCGTCAGCGGCCACTGCCCGCCGCGCCCCGGGGCTCGGGCGCCTGCGATCGGCGGCGGCGGACGCGGCGCGGGCCCATGGTTCTCCCCGCCCCTCCCCGGGGTGAGGGCGCGGCGCGGGGAGCGCGGGGGGCGCGGGGGGCGGGCGGCAGCGGCGGAGCGGCTCCCGCGCGCCCGGAGCCCGGAGCGTGAGTGCACCTCGACGAAGAGCCGCCGGCGCCTGGCAGCGGCCGCGGCGCAGGGACGCGCGCCCCTCCGTGGGGAGACACCTGCAGGCGGCCGGCGACACTGTTGCGGCGCCCGCCCTAAGCAGGGAGAGGGGGCGCCCCATGCCGGGCGCGGGCGGGGGACCCGGAGAGAAGGGGCGCCCCCGAGGAGCCCCGCACCCGATTGGAGGGGCTGAGAAGCAAGGAGAATGCCAGGCAAGGCGCTCTCGGAGAAAGGAGCTCCCCGCGGGGGACGGCGTGGGAGGGGAGAGAGGGGGCCACAAACCCGGCCAGGAGGGGGCATCCTACTCAGTAGAGCGTGCTGGGCTCCCCAAGAGGGACAAGGACCGGCAGGAGGGAGCCCTAGGAAGGAGCCCTAAAGGGTCAGGACTGCAAAGTTTCCTGGGCTTCCCATAGCCAGGGAGCTTCAGGCTCAGCTGAAAGGGATGCCTTCTGCGGGACCTGGACTCGCCGGACCCACCAGAAGGGGTGTCCCTTCAGGCACTCAGGGTTGTAGAGTCTTTGGGGCTTGTGCTTTCCCTGGGGGTTACCCAGGGGGACTCAGTGTAAACCAAAAGGAAGGACTTCTCTGGCAGGTGGAAGCTCCAGTCAGCTGGGCTCTATTATGGCATGGGACAGCAGCAGAGGTGGCAAAGAAGTGCCCCACACTGGATGCCAGGTGCTGTGTATGACAAATGAGGCTTCCTCCTGCAGGCCATCCCCACTTGAGATCCAGGGCAGCATGACCCAGGGAGGTCTGGACACAAAGTTGTAGCTGCTAGGTAGGGATGCCCTACAGAGGCTGTCTACCCAGAAACTTCAAGGTTGGGGTGGGGGCAGAATGGTTAAGAATACTGACTTCAGGGGGGAAAACAAACAAACAAACAAACAAACAAGAATACTGACTTCGGGGCCAGGCCGTTCTGGGACTTGACCCACTGGGGGCTTTGAACATGTCACTTAACCTCTGGGAGCCTCAATACCTATAAAAAAAAAAAAGAAAAAGAAAGAAAGAAAGAAAGAAAAGAAAAGAAAAAAAAGAAAGAGAATAAAAAGGGGGGGAGGCCTATCAGGCTGTTGTGATGAGATCGTGCCTTTAAAAAAAGCATTAGGAGCATAGTAGGTGGTCAATAAATGCCGGCCACTATGATTAACATCTGAACCAAGATCAGTGGACCAAATTCCCACAAACCCTTTTGAGCTCTCTTGTGCAAAGTGGGATTGCCCAACTGTAAGCACCCCCAGCCCCACCTCGGCTCTGAGGTGACCCGAACTCCCTTCACACCAGCAGTGCATGGGGCGCAGATGCCCAGGGTGTACGACAATTGATTGCATGTGGATTGCAAGAGCTCATTTGAATTCTGCCCAAGCTGAGAGCTGCTCCAAAAACCCCCATCTTGTGGGATGGCAGGGCTTGCAGAAGTCAAGGTTAACAAAGTATGAATGGCCTTATTCGGGTGGGTGAACCTGTGCTCACGGTCAGCTGGTGGGTGACAGTAACTGTGGGCAATGTCCCTGGCAGGAACTCATATGAAGGATGGCCAGGGGTCTCCAGACTCCTTCTTCAGATCCCTTTTCTGGCCCTACACAAGGCCTTCCCAACTATTTTGAGAAGGAGGACCTCCATGCAATAATCACGGAGTTGAGGGTATGGGTTGACAGAGAAAATATATCATGGCCAAAAACCTGCAAGGACTTCAGTATCACTTTTATTTTTTTTTAAGTATTTTATCTTTATTTTTTTTAAAGATTTTATTTATTTATTTGAAAGAGAGAGAGAGAGAGAGAAACAGCATGAGAGGGGAGAAGGTCAGAGGGAGAAGCAGGCTCCCCGCTGAGCCGGGAGCCCGATGTGGGACTCGACCCCAGGACTCCGGGATCATGACCTGAGCCGAAGGCAGTCCTTTAACCAACTGAGCCACCCAGGTGCCCTTCAGTATCACTTTTAAATAGGTGTGCAATATTCATCGCAGGAGTGTCTGTACACTTTTGAAAATCAGTCCCTCAGATGGAGGCTTGTGACAATGGACATGTGGGCAGGACTCGGTGACCTTCAGGCTGGGAACTCTGTCCTGGGCATTCGAAGCCAGCAGATCCCAACCGAAATATGTCTCAGGGATCACACCCTCTTCAGAAATACCCAGAGGAAGCACAGAGGGGGGTTGCAATGTCCTTCCACTCGTTGAGCACCCACTGGATGCTCAGAACCGGGGAGAAAAGAGAACACAAACATTAATACCTATGATGTAGGGTATGCAAATGTTAAAAGCTAAGGGCAGAAATAAAGCAGGGGGCAGGGATAGAAATGAGGGGAGCAGGTTGGGATTTTAAAGCAGGGTTTCGAGAAGACCTCACTGGGAAGATGACGTTAGAGCCAAGGCCTGAAGGACAGTGGGAGCAAGCCACAGGGACATCCCGGGAAAGGAGTTTCCAGGAAGTGGGAGTAGCCAGTGCAAAGGCCCTGAGGTAGGCCGATAACTCCGAGAGCAGTGTGGCTGGAGCTGAGCGGGCAGCGAGGAGAATAGCAGAAAACAACGGTGCAGAGGTGATGGGGAGAGGGTGAGGATCATGGTCTGGGTAGGCCCTTACGAGGACTATGGCTTTTACCCCGAGTAGGGTGGGAGCCTCAAGCGGCTCCAAGCAGAGGGGAGACAGGATCTGACCTAGGGTATAATAGGACCTCTCTGGCAGCTGCGTGAAGAAGAGGACCAGCTAGGGGCCAGTGAGTAACTCCAGGCAAGGTAATGCCAGTGGTTCTGCCCAGGGGGGTGGCAAAGGCAGTGGAGGCTCTGGGTCCATTTTCAAAGCAGGTCCAGCAAGATTTGCTCAAGGATCAAACATAAGGTGTAAAGACACCCCTGGGCTGTTTGGCAGGAGCTCCCCCAAGGACAGAGTTGCCATTTGCTCAGACACAAGTCCTTGCAGATCTGGGGCCACACAGGGAAGATCAGAAATTCCGGCTGATTCCTCAGCAGGCCTTGTACTCAAGCTGCAGATAGGATTGAAACAAATGCAAACTCCTTAGGCCACCCCTTGGAGAGGACAGGTATTTTCAAATAGCCACTAACAGGGGAAATCACCTTGGGTGTGGCCAGGTGTTAAGGAAAACTTGGTCGTGGCACACCTGTTAAAGACAGCAAGGCACGCTTTCTTTCTTCAAGGGGCCACAGCAATGGGGGGTTGGCCTGAGGGGAGAGAGATGGGGCTCAGGCAACAAGGCAAAGAGGGGGACTAGAGTGGAGGCGCAGGGTGGGGTCGATGGGGGAAAATTACTAAGGGGACGATAGGACAGGGACTAGAGGGGACTTGACCGGACTCTCACCGGCAGCCCCGGGGGGGGGGGGGGGGCGGGGTGAGGAATCTGAGCGGGTTTCAAGGGTGAGGGATTCGTGCTAAACCGACCCAGGGGGATTCTGACTAAAACGGGACTAAGCCGGCCAAGGACAGAGCCCAAGGTCAGGGCCTGGTTAGGAAGAGGGCTTAGAGGGGCCTGACCCTGCTTTTGTCAAGGAGAGTCTATGTCAGGAGGGAGTGGGGGTGGGATTTAAGGGGCCCAAAGTGTGGTTCCCCTCTCTTGAGCCACCGCCATAGGCCGAGACCTCCCGTTTCCCTGCTGCACCCCCGCCCCCCGTCTAGCTCCCTCCCCTGCACTTGCTGCCACAGGGATGAGCCCAGCTCCTCTGCTTAACCTCCTCCCTCCATTGCTTGCCCCAGGACAAAGTCTAAATGCTGTTCCAGGTCCTTCCGAGATGGGCTCCGGCCTGCATCTCCAGCCCCTTAGCCTGCTCCTCCCACCGCCACGGACACCAGACCACTTTGCTGGTCTGACCAGCGGGTGCTCAGACCAGACGACCTTAGGTCCCCGCCTGCCTTCCTCCTTCTGCTGGAGCGCCCTTGCTCTCCTATCTCTGCTGTCCTTCGAAGGGCTGATTAAACATTACTCCCCTGCAGAGGCTTACCTGGCCCTGCCCAGCCCTCCTCTGAGCTGCAAGGCCTGTGTCCACACCTGTCTCCCCGGCAGGCCTGGGGGCCCCTCGAGGTCTCCCCCACTGACAGCCTGCAGGCCAAATTTGGCCCATAAGCGTGTTTTGTTTGGCCTGCTTGGGCTTGCCTCCGCAGCATATCAAGTTTTCATGAGTTACCAATGCTCAGTAATCATGAGATTTCATACAAAAATCTAGACTTCTAACTTCTTTTTTTTTTTTTTTCAATTTGTGGAGGCTGTTTATTGGACTTAACTGCTTTAAGAAATTCAGTAAAATATTCTGGCTTTACGATCAGACGTCCACAAATGAGTGCGCATATTGTTTTAATGGTAACTTTGACTGTTATCATGACAAGATGAGTACATTCTTCTGTCCAATTGTTCACAGTAAGTTGCAATATAGCTTGATTTAAAGCAGTTTTCCCAGAAACATCTAAACAAGAAGAGCATGCAACCAAAGGCTCATATTCTACTCTGAATTTACTTTCAAACACTCCAAAAGTAACTCTATCCCCTGTCTTCAAAGCTTGGGAAAGGCCATTCTGCATTTTTTCCTCATTAACAAAGGTACCATACTTAGAATTATCTTTTATTGTCAATATAGGAGTCTCATCTGTTTGACTCAGGTTGGTTACAGAAAAGTTAGCAGTTAACACAGCATGATTTCGACTGATTGATCACCTTCAATTAGAATGCCACAGTTTTTCCGTCCAACAATGTATTCGACACCAGTCAAAAGTCTGAA